GATTCCGGACAATTGAAATATATAAATTTGGGATATGTTAGTTTCCTTCTGAGACATAACAATATTTAATTAGTCTTCAGAATTTCCAACAAATCATCGAAGACTCGAAGTACTTGAACTACTTAAACTTTTGCATACATACGCTTGAAGCAATGTCAGGGTACAATGTTTGGCAAATATTCAGAATGGTTTATTTAAAGTCTGAGAGAAACAACTACAATGTTGTATATCGTACGATGTAAATGTGGAAGCAATTGATTTTGAAACAGTATTGTGCAGCTAAGTTTCTTTTGAAGATAAGAGAGCATTCACGAAATAAGGAAAGCAATGGCAATAGATTCAGTTCTTCGGTCGTTGGTTTTTATAACCTTTGCAATTACAGTAAACTACAGCGTGAAAAGTAAAAAAACAACACTTCTGAGTATCACTATTGGTTAGTCTTTGCAAGTTACTTGAAGTAGCAAACACTAAAACTCGACCCCGGCTGGAGGTATCATCGTCACGAAAATCATAACTGAGGAAACACTTTTTTAACCAAGAATATTTTCCGGTAACAGGAAAAGTTCACTGAGCTGATCCAAACATCGACTTTACCGATCAAGTGAGATCTATGAAATGTCATTCAAGCTCACAACCAAAATTTTTAACAAATATGATGATTCTTAGACACAATACAACTATAATTACTGTTTAAGCCATTGCTGAAAATTATACTTCTATTTATTTAATTTTTTTTGTTTGAACTGGCAGGTAACCCACTTCAGTAGTAATATTGTAATATTCAGTGAGTCTCTGTAAATTAACATTAAAATAAACTTGCCATTAGGTAAAACAAATTAAATATTATTTTTCTTTACTCCTTATTTTAATTAAGTAATTAGATTTCAATTAAACATTAATTAAATAATAATAAGTTTATTAAATAATAATAGTAATAAATAATTACCTTTTTAATTAAAGCTTTGCTTTTGAAAATAATCCGTGGAATTGTAAAAATAATAACAATTTGTTAAATTTTCTTTTATTCGAGTGAATAAATTCGGATGGATGGCTTCGGGCAAAGGTGATCGGACTAATAAATTAGGGTCAGTGTCCATTCGAATTAATGTCCATTCATGCTGTTGTTTTCTGGCGAATGGGCGTATTCGGTTCAACCCTCTTCCTTTATTTTATCTAAAATTATTGTTTATTCAGAATTATTGTTTGAAAATACTAATTTAGAACTTTTCTGTCAAAACAAAATTTTTTCAATGAAAAAATTTCATATTATCAAAAATTCGTTTAAATGAAAATCATAGTAAATGAAAATTTGCAGAACTTTTGATTAAAATATAAAAAAAAAATAATGCACATATCATTTTATGAAAGTTTTGCTCGTGTAGATACTGCGGCTTCTGCCTAAATTCTTTCCTCCGATAAGAACAAAGTTTTTTAGTCAACGTCAACACAATTTCTGCCGACGAAATGGACCACTTGATGATAAAATCTTCGCTACCGATGAAAAGACACGTACTTTGCCAAGAATCAACTGCATTTTTATTTTTTATAGTTTAATAAAAAATTGAAATTACTTTCTTGTGGAAAAAATACTTCATATTAGTGATAATTAAATATGTTTTCGATGCAAAATATTTCAATCAGATTTTTACTTTCTACCCAAATAGCATAGAATTAGAGCTAAATATTTGTTTTTTATATTTTGTTCTCTCACTTTTTAATCGTACGAGAATATTTTTTATTGATTTTCAAGCACCAATCATGGCAAACGGATTAATTCTTCAGAATAATTACTGACAAATAGCATAACAACCTTTGTGGTTTTTTACGAATTATTTTATTTTTTAGAGAGATAGAACGAGGTCTACGCACTGTTCAGAGATATTCTATACAGATAGAGCATATTTATACCATCTAGATATCAACTGCACACGTGGCTATCGAGATATATACGTGGTGCGATTACTCTTACCAGTAAATTATGGTCATGAATACTAATTCAATTCGCGGAGTGCGTCACTTTCTTTTTTATCTTCTAATTTAGATGAAGGTTCTAGCGTGTTCTGTTCTGCCTAATAAGTTTTCGACAAGATTTGTCTATCCTGCCATAAATCACCATTTATTTCTTTCGTTGACTTTCTTTCATTTCTACAGAATGGTTTATTTTGCATACAATTAACCGTTTTTATATTACAATACATGTTTATATTACTTACAATTAGTAAATGAATCTTTGTCATTTTATTTGAATCTTTTAAAATTTGAAAAGTGTGAAAAGAAATTATCCTTTTTTCATAGGACACTCAAGAGCTTTCTAATCGTGAAAGGTTCTAAATTGGAGAGTAAAATGGAAGCTTTTTTGTACACAAATAAGTTTTTCTTCAAGCACTTCTCCTATCAGGCCTTTCCTCTTCTCTCCACAGTTCTCTTTAGACTCTTTGGACGAATTCAATCTCCATCTATTTCCATTTACGGAAAATGCTGCATTCGTTCTGAGAAGAGCTTAGATCGAGATGTAGACGATCTGTTCAATGAAAGTGATCCAAGCCAATTTTTATATATATACATTCGTCGTATGTCGTCTACAGAAAAAGCGGAAGATGAAAATTTCTTATCTTATTGTGTGCAAAATTGAATAACGTGATTGAGAATTAGGCATTATATTATTATTTTATTTACGATAAAATATTCTTAAATTGTTAAAGTAATGAACCTACTACTAATTTATGTTTCTTTAACTTTAACTCCAATTTTTAATAAAGCATTTTTGAAAATTTTTGAAAGACAAATCTTGAAATCTTTTCTTATTCTCTGAAAATTTCTTTGGAGTTCTTTAATTTTTGTAAGTACAAGTTTAATAGTAGCTCGGAAAAATACAACAAATATTTATTGAACTTAATGTAATTGACTAAATGCAAAAACGGTTTATTTATAAAGAGAGAGAATGAAGAGATTCCTCAATGTAATTATATCATTAACTCCTTTCAACAAGTAATTATATCCATTAGTTCGTCTTCCTTCGCAATTTGGTGATGTAGTTAAGTCCTCTTATTCTCACCATCTCACCCTTTCTTTCATTTTCAAGTGAAACGAGTTAAAGTGCAATTCCAGAGATTTAAAATACTTACCAAATCAAGCCTGAGTGCTTCTTTCTAAAATACAATAGCCACTATTTAATTCTTAATTATACATTAAGTCACAATTGTTCGGAATTAAGAATTAAGAAATAAAAATTTGTCATAGGGTTTTTTTTTAAAAAACTAACATGTAAATGATTAGTTGTCTTCACTAGATATAAAAAATTTAATACATTTCAAATACCAAGAATATAAGACCATGAAAAACAACAACTACTGATTTATTAGTTTACCAGCGTATTTGATCAATTAAATTATTCTAACAATTAAAATAATTTAAATATATTAATAAATAACAATTTGAAAGTAGAGTTGCACTACATTAAAAACAAGTATAATCAATTATCAATTAGCCTATATAAATGTAAATTATGCAATAGAATTTAAAAAATTTGAATGCTTCTTGTAGAGATGGTTTCAACTGAGACATGAATAATGGACTGGTAATCGTCTTTAATATCCTTATGTCATGCTTACTTCATAGCAACGTACTTGCTGCTAGTATCATAAGCAAGACGCTAACCGAGCAGAGGTCGGGATGGAAAACTTGATTAAATTTCTTCGCGGCGTCATTCCTGTGAGTTGCATCGTATAATAAACTCCTTCTGGTTTTTCACAAAAACACAAATTATTATTCATGATAAAAACTATATTTCGTAGAATGTTAAAGCACTCTTCGAAAAATACGTTCATACGTCAAATTTATAGTCGAATTATTTATCATGTGTAGATAGAAGTTTCTGTTTTGTAAGAACACAAAAAGTACCCATTTAGAAAGATTCCCGTAAACTTCTTTCCAATGTCTTCTAAAAACCGTTTTTCGGAATATTTTGAAAGAATTTCCATGCAACAGAATTTACATCCAACACAATTGATATGTAACACATTCGACGTTTGGACAACCTGAAATGCAACAGAATTGACATACAACAAATTTACATACACCTGGGTGTACTAAAATTGATAAACTTTTGAATTTGAACTTTTTGAATATAAACCATTTCAATATATCTTCTTTTAAATTCAACAATTTCATTATTTAAAATTAAAGTATTATTTAAGTCGAATATATGATGATTATTTGTAGGATGAGAACTAAGACCAGAGTCAATCCTTTTATCTTTTATAGATTTTTCATGTTTCCCTATTCTATTACAAAGAAGTTGCTTCGTTTGATCATTGATATTTGGATATGATTCCCGAATATTCAAGAGCACCAGGAAGACGAAAATTATTTGTTGTTTTGGTCCTGCCAAAACACTGGCGGCGGCCATTTTGAATTAAAGACCCTAAGATTGCTGGTGACTATAGATAATAAGACGTTCTGTTTTATCGGCCGTAGCCAATTATCTAGCGCGGATAAGTGAAAACTGTAAAAATTGTAAATCATGTAGTACGCCTGGGACTCACCATAACGAAAACGAAGCGCGCGTGTAGCGACGCGTTTGTAGACAGGTAATCGGCCATTCAATTCATTCACGTATTTGTGTTGATCAAAGACGCATAACTCCATAATTAATAAAATTAAAATTATTTTAAAATAAAAAATATTGAGAGATTAAATAGATTAATCTTTTGGATAGTTTCAAGTAAAATATTCTGTCGCTAAAAAGAAAATATTTTTTCTAAATTTAAAATCAGTGAATTAAAAGTGTAGTTATTCATTCCTAACCTATTGTCGAGTAGTTAATTGATTTTGATTAGATAAAAGTTAAAAATAGAATTAAAATTTCAAAATAAATATTTAAATTGTTTAAATTGTTTCATGATATGGAAAAGTGATTGAACAAAATTATAGCTTTCTCCGCAAAACTATTTAAATAAAATAGGAGTTTTTCAAAAGAGAAGAACAAAAAGCTTTTGTCAATATATTTATTCGATATCTGTCTTAAATCTGTTGTTCTTACACTCTCAAAATTTACAGTCTTTTATCGGCCGCTTATTTACAATAATATCACGAAGCATCATATACTACAGTCACACACATATTTTCAATCTTACAATACTTTTTCTCTAAACATATAGAATAGGTTTTACTTTCTTAGTCCATTCCACAATTTACTTCCTTTCTTTTCTCATCATCTTAATATTATCTTCATACACTAAAAAATTATTATTTATGTAATTTTACTTTTTAAGTCTTCTCCCTTTAGTAAAATTTATTAACTTACTTTTCATAGTGTACCGCATTTTTCTAAATATCTCAGCCATATAAATTTATTTATTTGTTTCCCGCAATAGTATGAAATTTTCAATTTAATATTTTGAAAAAATTTATTGCTTTATAGATAATAGTAATGTGCACAATATTGTCAAATATAGGCATTTAAGATAATGAAAAACCTAAAGAAAATTTTAGAATACGAAATTCTCTTATGAGCCAATAATAAATTCTTAGTATTTATATATGCAAATTTGTTTTACATTCCAGCAACATAAATACCAAAAATATTTTTGTATATTTTTCTAATCTTTATAAATAGTATGAGATAATTTCTTAGTACATTTTTTAAAAGTAAAAAATCTGTTGGAAAAAGTTTAACATTATTAAATAATGTAAATCGTAAAAGACAAGCGAAGAGGATGAAGTTATTTTCACATCAAAACTATTTTTTAGTATACAGATTTTTTTTAATAATAATTCAAAATAAATAATTGATTAAAATGTTTAAATTGAAATTAACTCCTCTTGCCACCTTCAAACTGTTGAACCCTTAAACCATTGTATCATTTTTCAAACTTGTTTCAAAATTCTTGGTATACAGTTTTAGAGAACATAATCCCTGACTGATACAAATCGGATCATTTTTAAATAATTTAAAGAACGTTGTAGGTAAGCAAAAAAGTTCTATTAGATGCAAAATGGTTACATATATATTTTTTTATTTTTAAATTTTTGAAACTTGATTTTTTAGAGTCTTATTATTAATATAAAAATTTCTGAAATGTTATTAAAATATTTTCTTTAGTTCTGTATTTCTGTGACGAAGCATCCTTTAATTAAAAACATATGGAAACTTTAAAATGTTTCAGAAGCTCATTAAACTCTGTGCAAGGAAAGCATTAGTCAAAGCAATTTTTAATTACTCTGACATATCTTCACATGTTTGACATGAGAAAAAATTTTTGTTATAGTAAAATTCACCAAATATTGTAGTTAAATGATATCCTTGTTAAGTCTTTATATTGTGGTGAAAGAGCAGAAAATAGTTGTCTTGATGAGTAAGTCTAAACCAATGTTCGCCGGAGCGCTCGCAAATTATGTAATCGTAATTAATTTAAAAATTCATTATTTATGCGCTGAATTTACAGAAATTCTTAATTATTTATTAAATAATTCTTCTATACTATGCTGAAAAAACTTTGGCTGAGTAGTTAACTTTAAATATAAAATTACTGCGTGAAGATAGACAATCCTCACTTTTGTTATTGCACATTTTACTTGCGTTTACTTCAATATCGATAAAAAAAAGCATTTCTACTTTCAATTAGGTGAACTTGTAGCCCAATTTTGAATTTTGCACCAGAACACAGCTATTCGACTAAAATTTTCGTACTGGTACAAACTTAAGGAACTAAACACTTTTCATGGTAAAATTAGACTTTTTAATAGCCGTCGCCATAAATGTATATATTTTATAACATTAATATATTTATACATATGTTACAGTAAATGTACATATTTAATCAGCCTGTTCATTTACCGTTAAATGTGAAATGTTTTCGTATTAAAAGTTGAATGTTTGGTTAATTTGTTTTAATTTTGATTAATATTTTTATGTATTGAGTATATTGTTTGTTGGAAACTGTTTTGGAGGTTTTAACTTACTTGAACAGATTTAAAAAATTTTAATTTTACCCATTTTTAAAAAATTGGCTTATAAAGCTTAAAATCATTTAAAAGTAATATAAAAAATGGGTTTGAAAATATTGACAATGATAACATTGTCAATATTTTCATAATTTAAGAAAGCTTCTAGACTCACTGTGACGACGGCATAGGACCCTGTTGGAATTTTTTTTAATTCTTTCATATCACCTAAACTTTCTTTGACAATCGTACTCTTACCGTAACATATATATTACAATTTAAAGTCAATATTTTGAGCACCCATATATTCATTTGCGTTCTCTGTTGGTTGGCAATTATTACATTTTGAAAAATTCAAGTCTACTCGATTTAAAATTGAAAATAAAGTTTCGCCAAACAATTTACATCTTACAGTGATAAAGTTTGAGATAAACTTTTTCAAGAATGATTCAGTAACGATTTATTTCATTAAAGTCTTTTCTAGCCATACTCTTCTGTTCGTCTATTTTTCAATTTATCTATTCTTTCTAAATTCACCCTTATTAGTATTAAGTGAAAATTTCTTAGACTCTTGGAAATGCATTAATTGACTTGATAGCATTTCTTATCATTTCTTCTGTATTTATAGATTTTAAGCAACGCGATGGAAAAGAAAATTTCTATCTAGTTATTCCTAAAATCAATGCCCTCTAGTTACATATACATAGAATTCAAGAGGAAAATTTTACAACATTGGTAAATTTTACAAGAATCGGAGAAATGACTGATTCTGACTTTATTCTAACTACATGAAAAATATACATTTTATATTGTTACATTACAGCGTGGTAATATTATTTATTTTCTTTGTTTCTTAAACTATATCTATTCTTCACTTCAAATTCTTAGATATCTTACTTTACTCCCTCAATTATTTATACAATTATTGATTAACATATATTTTTAAACTTCTTTGCCTGTTTCTTTCTCGCAGTATTTAAATTTCTTAATATTTCTAATTAGCTTAATTTTTTTAATATACAAAATCACCACGAATTTGCAGCACAATGCTTAAAGTTTGATTTCCTCAACTTTCTACAGAGTTTAATTACAAAACTTTCATGTTTTATAATTATGTACAACATTAAAGTTAATTAATGGTAAAAAATGAAAGTTGTTATTAGTAATTAAATTATATAAAAATTCAAATTTTAAAAATAATGTTAACATTAGACTCATTAAAAATTTACTGTCTTGATATTATAATTTACCAGCATATGTATAAATATTTATTTTCAAATCATTATTTTACTGAATGTGTTCCATATTTTACAAACATAGACTTATTTTCATATTTTTTGTAAAACTAAAGAACTGAATATGTTAAAAATTCAAATTTTTTTCTTCTTACATTTGTAAGCAAACGTTCGTTTTATATTCAAATTTTTTTACACATATTTTACAAACTTTTCAATCTTTCTCCGAAAAGTGTCTAAACAGATTTAGGCCCATTATGGAAATTCTGTACTATTTTGCTCTCTAGTTAACCTGCTTTACGTTTTTACTAAAAAGAAAAGTAAATAATTAATTTAAAGATATAAAATACTTAATATCCTGATATAGTCTTTAAGCTTCTAATGAAAATCTATAAAAATGACAAAAAAATAATTGAATCGTTAATTTCGAAAGTGTTTAAATTTCAAAACCCCAAGAATCATTTCCATGTAACTTATGATAGTGAAAAAGATTCGTACGGTTTTTAGAATTAATCCATTTTCGAAATTTGTGCAATTTAAAACAAAGTCAGTAGACAAAACCAAAAACCCTTTTGAATTCAAAAGGCGACTCGATTGATAATTTTTTAGATAGTTCGTAACTACAAATGTTACATTCCAAATATATTTTGTCAAAGTTGTAAAAAACTTGTAATCCTAAACAATTGAGTCTCAAGACTTTGATTTTCGAATTTACATCGAATAAAATTCCCACTCGTCAGTAATTAAAATTATCTTTCAAGCTTGTTGAATACTAGGACTTTTTTTCTTGGCCATTCTTAAGACTACTAGTTGGCGAATAAAGACCAAGTTTTAGTCCTAATTCTTTAGGCTTCCTAAGAGCGTTTCTAACCGGAAAGGGACTGAAATTTGTTGTTGGACTCAAACCACTATCAAAGCCTGGTCTATTGGTATAATTAATATCCCCAAGTGTTAGAGAAGATTTTTTATGATTAACTGACCTTCTCGATGTCAAATCATTCTCACTTATTATACCTGAAAATTTAGGAGACACAGGATTTTTCGCAATTTCTTCCGAACTTGGAGACAATTTTGTTAAAAATTGATTCGATGATTGAGCAAATTCTCGATTGAATTGATTACTCGTAGATATCAATTGCAATTCTTTATGTTGAATCGAAACCAGATAAGATGTATCTTCCATTCCAAGATCCATCAACTTATAAGGTTGTCTATACTCTAATTTTGAATTCCCATAATCCTTCGGTGATATCGATTCACGTTCTCTTGGAATATAGGCATCTTGTCTCTCGTACTTGTATTCAAAAGGTGAAAGACCTCTCGATCTTGTGAATCTTTCATCCGTTCCACGTGTGAAATATCTCTCTTCATTTTTGTCCATCGATTCCAAAAATCTGTCATCAATTGTAGATGTCAGAAAATTATCTTCATTAGCAGGTTGTAAAAACCTTTCTCCATTAGAAGAACCAATAAATCTTGCTTCATTTGCACCTGGGAATTTATCTCCATTCTTAGGACTTGTTCCTACGAACCTTTCATCGTTAGGATTAATTTTTATTTGATGAATATTGTTCGTAGGAGTAATGGGCTTGTCATTATAATATGGTGCTCCTTTATTAAGATCAGACAAGTCGCTTTGAAATGGCGAAATACTTAAATCTATTTTAGATTTTGGTTGATCTTCGTCATAACGGACACGAAATTCTAGACTTTCCTTGGACAAAACTTTTTTGTGATTCATTTCAAAATCGAATGTTTTATTACTGAACTCGAATTTACCATCGTCGTAAGATTTATCGTACCTTCGGATCGAATAGGAATCGATTGGAGATTTTTTTGGTGATATTCTTGGCGATAGATTTTGTTTATAATCGTAAGGTTTGTAAGTATCATAAGGACTCTTAAGAGGTGAGGAGTCAAATCGTTTTTCTTCCTTGGACGGGTATTCGATACTCACATCCGAATACGATTCATTCTGCGAAAGATATGGAAGAGTTGGAATTTCGTGTGAGGTTGAAGATAGGACTTGAACTGACGATATCTGGTCCAGTTTCTCCAGTTCCCTGTAAATATCAATATCACTTTTAGGCTTAAAGTTTGAAGGACTGTATTTCGTTGTTAAATAGGTCTGATTAGAGCTGTATGATTGGGTTGATAGATTCAGTGATTGACTCAGTGGACTCAATGATTGATTGGCCATTGGAGAGCTGAGAGCGTTATGTGTAGTCGTAGAATTTAGGGAATGATATGAATGATTAAATACTTGTTGCGAAGGGCTTAATGTCTCACCAAGAGGATGAAATGTCTGCCTCAGAGGACTTACAGTTTGCATTAAGGGATTCTGTGTTTGATGCAAAGGACTTAATGTCTGACTTACAGGACTAAATGTCTCATTCAAGGGGTATTGGGCATGATGCACTGAATTATATACTTGATGCCCTGAAATGAATGTCTGATGCACTGGACTAAATGTTTGATTCACTGAATTTAATGAATGGTTGGGATTCAATGTTTGATTCATTGGACTAAATGACATTGGATGCAATTGAATCGGATCTACATACGAATTATATTTTTCAGAATGAAGCATCTCCTCCTGGGTTGAAAGACCATTTTTAGGTTCAATCGAGTTCTGATATTTATACAGATCGATATCAACCTTCTGATTCCTGATTGAACCACTTGACGATTCATTATCGTAATTTGACAAAAGTTTAGAAAGTTCCTCATTTATTTGTCGATCGATAAAAGCATCTCTAGTTTCAAGGTAATCTTGAGAAATAATTTCGTCTAAGTCAACTGACTCAATGTCATCATCGCCAATTAACGACAATTTACAGAGTTCATCGTTAATTTTTGCATCGAACTCAGATGTAGTAGAAGTTATATCCTTAAAATTGATTTTTGCAAGTTCTTCATTAATCTCGTGTTCATTAAATCCCATTTTCTCTAAAATTGGACTGAAGATCTTTGAAATCTCTTCATTAATAGGACTGATGGTTATTTCCTTTGAGATCTCTTCTAGATCTGGCAAGCGTTTCTTAGCTTGACACGTGAGAATCTTTTGTAGAATCGCAGAATTTTCTTGAATAATCTTCAAAGCTCTATCACTGCTGGATCGTCGACCATTATCTCCTATTTTTCTCGGCTTGACTTTAGTCCAAACTCCTAATTTAGCTTCTTTATCATCATCTTTATTGATGGTATTATGTGCAACTTTTTTCAGTATACTATCACTGCTTTCATCAATGTTGATCTTTGGTTCGACTATATAAGTTTTTCTGTTTTCATTCGATATACTAATACCTGGAATATTGAGACGACTTATCGAGAAACCACTTGCTGAATCACTGAAAGTGTCTAGTCGTCTAGCTTCTAAATTCTGAACATCCTCCCAAATGTAACCGGTTTTTTTCGTTAGCATATTAGTATCTGATGGGTAATCAGATTTCGATTCAAGATGTTTTATATCTTCCAATATATCACTTGATCTTTTCTTCACGGAAGATGATAATTCTTCTTGTGAACTAGAAGAGGTTAAATTCGGGAACTTTTTATCCAAACTGCTACAACTTCTTTCGAAAGGCTTTGCTGTTAACGTTTTTCCACTCAGATGACTTTCTTTCCTTTTCACTCCTAATGAATCAAAGAGATTCGAGTTGTTTTCTTTTGGAAGTGGAGACAAAGAATCGTCATCTTTATCGGGACTATCATCGAACTTACACTTTTGGTAACTGGAGAAGGCACTTCCACCAATCTTGGTATCCAAATCACTTTCAAAACTAGATTCTAAATTTTTATAAGCATATACTTTGGAATCTTTGTTCTTTAAAAAATCATTTGAAAGAGAATAATCAGATTTTATTGAATATTTTACAGTTGGCGAGACTTGACTCTCGTGCTTTTTAGAAGCAGAATCGTACGGTGAGGGTGTCTTTTGATTAGGATGAGCAATTGGATAAAATGGAGATGTGATGGATACCAATTCGACAGGTGGAGTGTCCGATAGATTACCATTGTCTTTATAATTCGAGGAGTACTTTATGGAATTGGCACTGATTGGTGATTGAAGGTCAGAACTAAATGACCTCTCGGAAGACTTTAGTTTATTGGGACTGTAGGATTCACTAGAACTACTGAGGCCAAGTTTCGGACTGCAATCTGATTTTGCCTTTAGAGAGTCTAGACTGATTGGAGTCGATGAGCAGGATTTATCGAAAGAAGGAACTTTAGGTTCTAATTTCGCCCTAACGGCCATCAGATCAGCTTCGATTGATTGCAAAGTCAGTGTTTTGGAGTCTGAACTAACAGACGAAGATGTCGATTTTTCCAGAGCTCTCGAATCGGATCTGATGCTTATTTTCGGACTCACCATCACACTGGAAGTTTTCGAATCAGGTCCCATGGTTTCTCCAGAACTAGCAGATTCGGGTGTTTTGGGACTTTTCTTACTCTCCACTGGTGATTTTGGATAAATGTATTCTAAATTAGAAGACCACCCATTTGACTCAAGTGGATCTAGATTTATAGATTCGGAAACTTTACTTAAATTTTGATCGATAGTTAAAGGAGAAATTGGCAGAGGATCTAAAGCGAAATCTTTAGAATAAGTTCTATCTAAAGCTTCATTAGAGTCTTTCACTATACTAGAATCACTAACTCCTTGATCTAAAAGGTTATGAAAACTTTTATAATCATAATTAACGCCTTCGGAAACTGTACTCTCTGATAATTGATTTATATCCGATTCTTCTAATCTTGAAACATTTCCTAAAAAATGGTAATCAAAAGATGAACCATCTTTGACTTCCAAATCTGAATTCTTGTTTTCAATATCACGATCACTGAACACTCCACTTGAGATTACATTTTTATCGCCGGCTGATAATCTTCGAATTTGATCCGTTATTTCGGCAATTGATGTTTCCTCTAGGTCTGGCGGTCCGTCGATCCGCGTGTCAGGGAGAACACCAACAACACAAACACTTGTAAATTCGTTTTTCACTTCCGGGGGGATTTTCGATGGAATTTGACTAGCGATGGGAGAACTTCCTAGACGAGGACTTTTCTCGTCATCAGTTGCCATGACGTAACAATCTGAAGAGGAAGTTGGCTCTTCACTGTCCACGTCACTGAGACGATCAGGTTCATCGCAGAGTTCTGTTGATGTACTGTCGCTGTCGCTATCGGCACTGCTGCGTTTTGATGACGTCATTGTGACCGACATTGATTCGGGTGAATGCACTAACGTGTCAGGCTGCCCTCCCTCATCTGCAGAAAAGGAAAACAAATCGATAAAATCACAGATGGGAAAATACTGCATATTTAGCAGTTAAATAAATTCTGCTAGGAGAAACAATTTCATTTTAAGACTTGTTGTTATTATAATCAAATGTTAGTTGATAATTTGGATTTGTTTTTGGAAAAATAGCGATACTACCCTATGTATGTCATGAAGAATAAATATCCGGATGTTGACCCTGTAGGCCACACCTGCGTCAATACTTGTGTGCCTGCTGGGATCTAACAGGTGGTTCTAACGAAAAACGACGAATTCACACGAAATGCAATGCGATCGATAAAGCTCGAAGGTAAGTTTGTAATCTCTCTTATCTGCCGTAGTGAAATTTTGTTTAAAACTGATAGTTGGTGGAAAATTTTCAAAAGCGGTTTTCTTTATTTCAAAAATTTTTCAAGTTAGCCGCACACGAATTCTTGCTAGATAATTAATAAAATCAAAATAAAATAAAGAAATGATAAAATTGTAATTTAACATTGATTTTAAATTAATAATCCAAGTTTCTTGAATTAAAATATCCCGACTTATTAAATAAAATAAATGAATAAAATTAAGGAAGAAAAATTTGAAACATACCTTCAGGTACATCCTTGCTGCTTTGTCGTTTTTTCATGTCCTTCCAATGTATAGTCACTGCTTGCCTGTCTTTTCGACTTTGACTCCTAGGACTTAATCGAGGTAATGATTTCACCTTTGAGGTAGATATTAAAGCAGATGTACTAATTTGTCGACTCCTTCCGCTTATCAAAGCACTTTTTCCAGCAAGAAGATGATTCATAGCGGATGTCGGAGGTGTGACCAAAGATTGTCTCGCACAAGCAGCTGTGGAATATTTCAATTTTTTGTCTTTATTCTTTCTTTGTAAAATTTAATTGATTTCCTATTATACACATTTTGATACTAATGGATCCTAACAATTGATTATTTTTTGTAAATAGAAATTTTTTCAAGTTATTAACAAAATGGGATGAAAGAATATTTAATAGAACATTAGGACAAGACAAAGTACCAGAAAGTATAATGTGAGCTTGACGTTGACGTTCTCGTAATTTTGCATATTGCTGCTTCAGCGTTGTTATATCCAAAGCCAGTTTTTCCCTGTCACCACTTAAAGACTGCAGAGCTCCCGAGACTGAAGAAGAATGATCTAAAAGTTAATAATCTGTTCTAAAATTTAAATAAGAAGGGAAAAATGCATTTTCTAAATTGTTTTCGTAATATTCAGTTTAAGATCAAAAGAATATTAGATTACAATTTCTGATTTTACATTAACTTTTAATTATTACATTACAATACTATTTCTTCAATGTGGAATAAATTAAAAATTTATTTCTGTAACTTAAAACAGAATTAAATAGTGGTTAGGAAATATATAAACTTTCATAAGTTTTCAAATTTGATGACGGACATATTTTTTGGCAAACTAGGAATAACATTAAAGTACAACCTTTCTTTCTGTGTGGCATACTAAAAATAGCAGCTGCTGCGGCTACTGCTAATCTTTCCTCCTCTTCAGTTTCACTATCGTCCTCATCGTCACTTAATCGACGAGCCCAAGGTGTAATATTGTATCGATGCTTTTCCCTAAGACTTGTCACTCCATATAAGGACCCCATACTGACGATAGTCTAATGATAAAATTGTTTATATTTCAACAAAAGAGCGCTAAAAAATTACTTTAACATAACACTTAGTTTATGGTATTTTGGCGAAATAATCAAAATATATTGTTTTTACTTTTTTAGAAATAGATTTTGTATAATTATTCAAAATTTTAATTTAGTTAATAAGTGCCCAAGCACCTGACCTTTATTAAGTTGTTTGTATCCGTAAATTCCAACATTTCCCTCGTGAGCACTCCCATTATGCTGTAAAACTCATCCGCTGACTTGACGGTCATTATTCGGCTGTAAAATTGTATTTCTTAATTAGTCTTTTGTTCAAACAATTCACAACAGGTGAACTAAAAAAATAAACATCTGTGGGAGATATCAAACAATTAGAAAGTATTGTTTTTGAAAATTTAAATTTAGATCACTAATTTGTAAAGCAATGTGGATGTGATTTTTCGAATTTATAATATTTAAAAAAGAAATTACTCTGAAAGTCCTTCCCAAATTGACAAAGCAGTTCTCAGGAGTACTTCATCCCCTTCGAGAAATATGAGATCCCAAACTCGAAAAACTGCTTCTTGAGGCAAGCAGTGACAAAAGAGGGTAAGAAACCATTGCATCGTAAACACATTTGTCAACGGTGGTTCGTAACTGCTTCCTAAAAATATCAATCATTTTATAAGTAACCATTTTATAGATAACATTCTTATTGATATTTCAAAAACTTTTTCGAAATTAAATCCAATTTCTTCCAACTTGCAAAATTATGTAAAATTCTTAAAGTGAGTAAATAATTACAATGAAATTATTGCATCAAGATAAAAATGAAAGAATGAAAGAAAATAAAAACTTAGATTAGGAAGCTGATTAGAAAAAAAAAAATTATAATAATAAACCTGTGGCTTTGTCCTTAGCGTCTGTTTGCAAGGCCTCAAGATGTTTTGATAGCCTGGGTAACCTTATTCGTAAGAGGTCACGAAAGACAGCCATATCAACTGAAAGTCCTCGTAAATTGTCAGCGAAATATCCTTCTGGTAGGACACCTTCAATTAAGTAGATCATCACTTTAACAGCTAAAGATTCTGCACGATCGACAACTTGAAGAATCAAAGCTGCCAATACATTCAAACCTTGGCAATAACCCACGGATTTATTCCATCGAGCGAAGCCAAGTAACACTCGACGTAGAACCGCCTGATTATCACGGCCGGCTGCCCCGCAAAATAAACTGCACCCAGTTCTGTGAAGGTCCTGAAAAAAAAATTTAACTTAACATAATATTTTTTTTAATATTAGTCTAGATCTTCTGACTGTGAGTGACCCCTGTTTCTTAATGTAAGAAACATCTCTCCCAATGTCCCAACTCTTCCGGACTTACCCTAAGGAGCTAGGACCTTAAAATTGTATTTTGACTTTAGATAGAAAGATAAAAGATGTGAGAAGATTGCGAAAACCGAAAGGTATACAATAAAATCATACTTTAATTTTTATTGAGATTATAGTATACATCAAAAGGAGAAATACGCGAAATTATTAAATTATTAATAATTATAATTCACAAGTCCAATTAGTGCGAAATGTTCTGAAGCACGAAAATATAGCTCGAATTAATTAACTAATAATGTAACAACTAAAATACGTGCAAACATTACATATTCATATTCATATTCTGTATGTAAAGTATAATAATACTAATAAATAATACACATATATAAATAATGACAATAATAATATAAATGGATATAGATAACTAAATAATACTTATAATAACATTTCTCAATAATAACAACATGTTTTCAAAATTTATTTTTTTTAAATTAAACTAAAGATGTCGCCCGCCACATTGAATTCGCCATTTTGAATTTTAGAAATCTGACTACAGACTCGTAATAATCGACCCTCTGACATTCGTTTCTCAAAATTTAAAATGGCGAACCCAATATGGCGGACAAAAGAATTTTAAAAGTGTAGATACGCTTATTTTATGAAAGAAATTAATATTTTCATACAAGTGTGAAATAATATACTTGTGTATTGGACAGTATAATATAAAAATAATAATAATAATAATAATAATAATAATAATAATAATAATAATAATAATAATAATAATAATAATAATAATAATAATAATAATAATAATAATAATAATAATAATAATAATAATAATAATAATAATAATATAAAATAAAAGCGATAAAATAAATAAAATCAATGTATGAATTGCATGTTAAATTAACTAAATCCTCTAATTAATTGATTTTTCTCACTCACCTTGACAATTTGAGAACCGAGCTCTTCGTCATCTGGGTTGCTCCACTCGTTGAAACACACTTTTTCTGCTTGTTTCCAATCCACTCCCCGCTGATCTAAATGTCTCTCTGCCAGTGTAATCCACAACTGAAAATCAATATCAGCAGCAACGGATTCATTAACCATTTATTAATTAGACAAATGTACAAATGTACAAACTCATAATTTAAACGAAACATTTCATTACATAGTAAAAAATTTTTAATTCTACCATTTTTGTTAAATTGAAAGAAATTAATGTACGAACTGTAAAAAAAATTAATATATGAATATGAAACAAAAAAAAAAAGTAAAAAATTTTAAATTCTAACAATTTTGTTAAATTGAAAGAAATTAATGTACGAACTGTAAAAAAAATTAATATATGAATATGAAACAAAAAAAAAAAGTAAAAAATTTTAAATTCTAACAATTTTGTTAAATTGAAAGAAATTAATGTACGAACTGTAAAAAAAAATTAATATATGAATATGAAACATTATACTTATTTTACTGAGTAGATACGCAGATACGAAGATGAAAAAAATATTTAATTTGAATTTTGACAAAAATGTCACGTTGGATTTATATGGAACTGATGACATGGCAAGTTAAATAAAACTCACCCTCTTTCGAAACTCTGGAGGAATTCCTCCCGGTAATCCTGCCACCATTTTCATAGCATCCAACCATTGTGTAAAACCACTTTCACCGGGTTGTGGTGATAGACTAAATTTTATTTTTGCATCCTCACCTGAATATGTCAACAGAATAATAAAAAATTTGTTTTTAAAACATAAATTATTGAAATTTTTATTTGATTTAAGGCTTTGGGGACTGTCAGGATTTTCAAAAAATTTATTTCTTTGTTGCATTTTCTAAAAGTGGAAAGTCGATCAGAGCAAATTGTGACTTCTTTTAATCCTTTCATGCGCCCAAAAAATTCAGAGCATGGATTTTGTTGAAACTTGTTCCTCGGGGATTTTCGGGTGTCGCTGATTTCGATTCTGAGATCAGATTCTAAAAATCCAAAATGGCGGATCGAATATGGCGGATATTTTTTCAAAATTGCTCAAAATGACACTGAAAACCTCCGAGTAACAAGTTGTACGTAAATTTGAGCATATTTAAAAAAAATGTCCGCCATATTGGATCCGCCATTTTGAATTTTCAAAATTTGAAAAATCTGAGTTACCCCCAAAGTTTATTAAAATCCTGAAGTGCTAAGCAATTTTAAGTCTCAGGATCGTGTTCAGTAAAAACACATTGAAAACCAGATAAAAAAAAATTCTCGCAGGCTCGAGTAATTTTTTTTACAAAACCAAATATTTTATTTTAATCCATACATATTTAGAAAACCTATAAATTCTGTACCCTTTTTCTTAAATAGACAATCAAATCATTTTTCACAATCAAATAATTTCTCTCAGTGTGTGAATTTAAAAATAAAAAGTGAAAACTGCAATAGAAGAAGAGAATATAAATTAAAAATATATTTTTTTAATTATCTGTATCGTGTATAGTGTTTTCAACTGATATCCTTGTGTGAAAGGAGATAATTTTTCAATTTGATTGGAATAAATATCGAGTTACGAGGGGCAACTATATTTAAGTCAACTGGCTTTGTAGTTTCAACATTGGTTCAATTTCGACGATGAATTCAAATGTAGATTCAACGTGTATGTGATCAAGGTGTAATATGTAACACATTCAATTTATTCGTTAATAAAGAAAATACTTTTTCAATTATTGTTTCCTGCAAAGGAAATGAAGATATTCTTTAAATAATGGAAGTTTCATATTATACATTTATACCGCGGTAGAAAATAGAATATTCATGCATTTTCTCCTATAATCGAATTTGTGTATAAAATATTTAAAACAATGTAAATTTAACTTTATTTTAGTTATGTTAAAAATATCAAAATTTTTTGTCTACAATCGATTCAGCTTAATGCAGAAAATACAGTTGCCTATAGGTCTAATATTATAAAAATCAGTCAATATTTATAAATATTTGAAATATTTATTTTATTTGCTACAAAGAATTCAGATAATACTACAGGGAGAATTTATGGTGATTATTAAATTTTAAAATTATTTATTTATCACCTTCGTTCTGGTATCTGGATGCGCCACTCGCAGCATTCGCAGCTCCTGACGCAAGGCTCTTAAGGGAGTTGAAAAATCCACTCATTCTCTAAATAGAGTTTCTACTCCTTTTTCTTCTACATTTTTCATTTTCACCCTCCTGTGATCTTGTGCCTCTTCAATTTTTCTTTTATCCGTTTTCTAGATTCATAATCGGTTATTGTTATTCCTTTGCTTTCCGTTAATTCATTAAAGACAACTCCTCTCATTGCGAGTAAATTTTAAATACACTTTTTCGCTCTTCAACATTCTGTAATATCAGTTCCTTTCAAATTGCAATTTTATTTTTGATAAATATAACTATGTTTCTTGTTTAATATCCATTAATATTTAATGTACCCTCAAAATTACTGTTATTATCATTATTATTAATCCTATTATTTTTATTATTACCATAACATTTTCGAAAAATTGAAAATTTACCATTAAATATATATTATCGGTAGTACACAACTTTATACATTGTAAAATTTAAATGTACATTTTGCATCTATGTCAATACATTTTAATGGCTTACTTTATTCGAATTCACTGAAGCAATAACGAATTTAGTATATTTTTAAATGATGTTTTTCTCATATTATGAGATAGAACAGCCATTATAATTTTTTAATAGAAAAAGAGTATTTGCTTTTAATTACCAGAATTTTTCTTTTATATTTAACATTTATAATTTAAGGTACATTTAAGATGTAAAATTAACTATAGAATACTGATTACATTATTCGTACATAAAAGAAACTTTTTTCAGTGAATAATCGAAACCTTTATTAATAATTGTAGTGTATAGTGTAGTCCAATATGTGCGACACTTTTTTTCTTAGAAAATCCAATATTTGTTGTGGAAAAACAAATCTAAAAGTTTCAATTGCATTGTGTGTGCGAACACAATAAAATGGAAACGATTAAAAGTTGTTTTTCGATCACAAATACAACATTCCTTAGAAAAGAATTATTCTGTCAATGCAGATTTTATCCTGTATAATATAATACAAGAATTGCTTGAACAAGAATAAAAATAATAATAATTTTCTAGTATACTTATTATGAAACGTTCTTCAAAATAAGAACAACAGCATCAGTTGATTTTATTTTAAAAAAATTATTTATAGATATTAAATAAAAATTTATGTAATAACGCTCAGATTTATAAATTTTCCACCTTGAGCAGTGGCTTTTTCGCCATTTTCAAACCACCATTTTCAAATTGAAAATATTACTGTACATGATTCAAAAGTTCAACTAGAATTCATCCACGAATGGTATACATGATACAAGGCATATTATTCTCACTGTTGAGTAGGTCTATCGTATAACGAGTATTAAACTTTAATAAATGCGCATGGCATTACTAACAAAACAGAGGAGACTAACATAATTATTTATTTCAGTCGCAACTCAAACAGAATTCTTAACTATAAGTTTACAGCTATTATTTGAAAAGTTTTTCTTCTCCTGCATTTTCATTCTTTTGTGTATCTAACCCTCATATCTCAAACACAACATTTCATAAAATATATCCTAAATCAGTAAATTAAATATTGACCTACGATTCTTGAATTATTATTTTTTAACGAACGTTTATACTTAAAAATTTGTAAGAAAACTATAAATCGCAAATTAATATACGACCAAAAAGGCCTTTTTTCGCATTACAGCTGAGGACCCCCTTTATTTATTTATTTTATTTATTCAATAAAATAAGTTTAAGAGGATCAAAGCGATGTTAGAAATTTAATGGAAAAATCGCTTCGACTTTGAAGTTTGAATAAATCCTCTTTCTCATATTTACTCGATTGATCCTATCGAACCAAAGGATTCGACAACGAATATTTTTATTCTTTGATGGTTAATAACAAAAAAAAAAATTAAGTGCATCAGAACAGCTTTTTTTATAAAACATAATTGTCAAACAACATAATTACATAACAACATAATTGTCATACATACAAAGGAAAAACCTAATATACAAAGAATTTCACTTTTGATATTTTGTAATATAAGAGGAAAATATGCTTTAGAATCACAGAGGAATTCGCTAAAATGAAAATTACTTTTTCTAGGATATATAATATATTAATTTTATAAATAGTTGATTAACCGAAACGGAACCAAGTGTCTCTAACTATATTATTTTTATATTAATTTTGCTTCCTTATGAAAGCATTGTTTTACCATAAATTTTCAAACTTAATTTTTTCATTTTTCTTTGCGTTTCTTGACCTCAAGAACTAAAAAAACCACATTTCTAAAAAAGGCCATTTCGTGTGTCTATGTGTATATGTGACATTATCTTTTCATAAATATCTCGCAAGTTCCATATAAAAGCTAAAAGGATGCCTTTTTTTTAATTGTAGATCTCATTTTGGGAGAAGCAAAATCATTAGTCTTTCAGCTTCATTCATAAAGTTTAACTATGTTTTTTCGAGTTTTTAAATTTTTCCAAAAAGGTTTCTTGCAAATATTTTTTTAAAAAAATTTTGAAAAAAAATTTAAAAAAAAATTTTTTTTTTTGTTTTTTGGTAATAAATTACAATAATTTATTCCTAGCAGTAATGCAATTTATACAATAAAATGAAAATTTTCAAGAGGAAGCAAAGTGTTCGTAAAATAAAGAGAAAATAAAATTCCTGGTTTAACTTTGTAGCGAAGGTTTTTATTGATATTCCCTTGAGTTTATTTGTTGATATATTTATTTTTGATATACGAATATTTATCTAACTTTATATATATTTTTTATAAAGTTTATTAGTAACATCTTTTTTTTAAACAAAAAAATGTTTACTTTGTCTTTTATAGTTTTAGTATTGAAACTGTTACACATTTTATAGTTATATTTTTACGTATTTTAAAAAAATTCCATATAATCTTATTATGCAGGTAACTATAATATGCTTATGTGCTATCCTTCCGGCTTGCACACATATTGTTAAAGCGTAGCATTTCTACCATATAATGTTATTAATTCATGGCAAATTTGTATATCATGTCAGTTACGAACTGATAAGATTAATATCATTATGAATGCTACAGTTTTTAATGTGTAAATATTTATTAATATTTATATTCGTATTTATACCTAATTTTTTTAGTTTTTCCTATAAAAACGAGTTATTTTCAGGGGAATCACTCAAATATAGTATATAATAGTATTTTTTCAATTGAGGCCTTGGATCCAATAACTCGCCCGACGCTCGAAGCCACGCGCTAATACCAGTCGGGTAGCAGTGAGTGGCCCAGAGGCGCTCACTGCTCACTGACTGGCAGTTGCGCGTTCCTCCGAGCGTCGGGCGAGTTATTGGATCCAAGGCCTCAATTCAATTTTATTCATATCCAGGTTTTTAAAATTGTTTTCTTTTTTTTGCAAAAATTGATGCAAATTAAAGTCAAATTGAAATCGAATTAAAATTTTAAAAAATCAAAAGTCTTTTGACCTCTGAGGTTAATGGCAGAAAAAGATGTTAGAAATTTAATGGTAATTTTTCTACAATAATTTTTCTCTTAAAATATTAAATAAATCAAGCTATTGTTTTTTTAACAACTATAAATTATAATGAGAAAGATCAGTGAGATACAAAAGTTTAAATATATCAAAAATTAATT